CCATTTCATTTCGGCAAACGCGGGGGTTTACAGAGTGGATTAACTAATACACGCGAGTGTGATTCTTGACTATGCTCGATAAAGGTTGATGTTGAGTGCTTCTTGCTCGACTTTTCGTGCCAACGAGTTGCTAACAAGCTGGCTGCAAAGCTCGTGTGAGCTGGTGCACTGCGAGCTTACCCCAGTAGGTCATTACTCTGCATGACTGCTTGGCCACGGGAGTTAATAAAACGAAGTAGTTTTAGTAAAACAACGCAAGTTTTAGATCAGCCAATGACAGAACGGTGGGGAAGCTTACTTTTACGTCGAGTGCAACTTCAGTTTAGGTTAAACTTTGGATGGTTTTAGGAGCTAAAACAACGGGCAAAATATATGAAAAGCACAATACTACCCGTAGTAATTGTTACGACTGGAGCGACAGTGCACAGAAGAATCGGCAGAAGTATTTAGCCAATCAGATTGCAGGAAACCATCAACGTCAAATTAGTGTGTGAATTCAATTAGTGTGATACCCATAGGGCAGACCTTGTCATGTTTTTGATTCCATCAACTTCAGCTTGGCCACATCGGGGTCATCTCGCACGATTTGGCCTGATAACAGATAGACTCGAGTATAACGTTACAGCACTTTATTCAGCAACAACATGTTAAAGCACTACACAGGACGTGTCGGCGTCGACGGCAAGGAGACCCGAGTCCCGCTCGATTTCTCGGATAAGGTAAGTGAACACTTCATCTAACATGGAGACACAGCCCAAGGTTAAACCAACAATGAACCATCGCATAAGTTCGTACTGATGTTCTCGTTTTGCTTGGCCGAGCATTCGGTGAAGGGACAGCCCCATTGCCGCGCGGCTTGCTGGCCTTCTTCAAGCGACACTTGGCGATTGCCTTCGAGATCGGACATGCTGCCCACAAGCACTCGTGGGGGTTCGGATCCAAGGAGGTTCACCAGCTTTTCGTTGATCAACTTGAGCTTCTCGAAGGACGTGCGCGAGCAAATCGAGTACACCAGCACGTAGCCGTGGACACCCACGGACGCTGCTTGTGAGAAGTGCGAGTACTCGTCCTAGGTGGAATTTGAGATTGTCATTAGCATCATGCGATGGCATACCATGCCCGCCGTATCGACAATGTCGGTCACGAAGTGCGCGTGCTTGAACCGGACTGTCTTGTGGAATGTGTTCTCAATCGTCGGGTCGTAGTTCTCCACGAAGCGGTTCTCCACGAAGCAAGTCGTCAGGGACGACTTGCCCACGCCAGGGTACCCCAGCACCGTCAACTTGCGCTGCACTTCCACGGGCGGCGGCGCCATCGTCGTTGGGGTGACTGCGGGGAAATAGATGCGGTGGTATTCTCAAAAAGGGCCACTCTTTGCCGTTACCCATTGGGTATACAAACATCAAGTGGATTGTGCCCACTGCATCTTCCTACAAATTTCAAGTGTCGTCAGATATCCGTCATATTATCCATATTCCCAACTTCCGAATTATATGTCATATATCTAGTACAAGGTGTTGTGTTAATTGCTATTGTACTGTACGTGGAATCCGCCAATACTGTTTCAGCAGACCTTACATTCAACCAATCAAATCGATCGAGTTATCAATCTGCCACTTGGGTGTATTTTGGAATGTCCTGCATCTATATTGGGCACTCCTGTATTATTTTGACCGAATGATCACTAGGAGTAACGGAGTGTTCATGCAACTTCAAGCTACAGCGTTCTTCCGAGGACATGGTCGAGGTAGGCGAGGGCCGCAGTCGGCGCCCACGACTGCAGGCGGCCGTGCTTGTGCTCGTAGAAGCCACAGTGACTTCCGTGGGACGTGAACGCGAGCATGATGTACGGGTTCCGGTCGACGATGCCAACGTCAATCAACCCTAAGTCACGTCGTCATCTCCCTCATGGCAGCGGACGTACGAGTGGGACAGACGGGGTCGTCCTTTGCGCTGAGGAAGAGCGTGGGGACGGCGATGTTGTGCACGTCCCGAAGCGGATCGCTCGCTTTCCAGTACTCGGCCAACGACTCGAACGCATGGAGCTTCACGTATACCGCTTGGTCAAAGTCCGCCATACACGAAGCGGCGTTTGCTGCGGGTAGGTCGATATACGACGCCAGCATCGCATGATGCGGAGCCAACAGGGTCTACAGATGTCGATACTTGTCCTATAAAATGGTATGGTTCCTACCTGAAGGGACTTGGCCATCAGGTAGTTGTACAGAGGATGCAAGCCACCTTGGGCGTGAAAATGGCTCGGGCTTGTCGACGTCGCGTGCACCATGTAGTGTTGGTACCCTAGATACGTGTCAGGCATATAAGTCGAGCTGGCCATCAGTTAGCATGGCGATACCTGGAGACACGAGCACCCCCGCGGCGAGCTTGGAATGTTGGCCCATTTCACCCAGGTACGAGCTGAGGAGACCTGCGCCGGCGGAGTACCCCACGCCTACACGTGACGCTGCCTCGCCATCGTTGAAGTTGAAGGGACATGTCGTACCGACGACAGGAACGCCAGGGAACGTGCTTTGTACGTGCGCGAGCACCGCCTTCATGTCGCTGGTGCACCCAAATGCTTGCAATCGGGGCGTCGTGAGCTTGGACTGGCCATGCCCGCGCTTGTTGAACACCACCGCGCGATACCCAGATGACGTGGCAGCGTGGCAGAACTCGCGCATGTCCTGGCTGCAGCCTAAGGACTCGGAGTAAGTACTAGAAGGGGAGAACTACGAAATACTATCAACCAGCCAGAGTGTGCAGTACGAGAACGATCGGTGCCGACGGAGGTAACGTAGATGCAATCCAGTCGAGTGCCACTTGCCCACCGTCCTCCATCGCCACGAGTTCCCGGTCGTATGTATGGACGTCGACTTGAGGAAGCAAGCAAAACATGAACAGCTGAACGTGCGCGTTGGTTGCATACCAAGGAGGCACGTACGCTTGTGTGAGACCTGTCTGCTGTCCATGGTCAGAGCGAGAGAGGATGTGGGGGGAGACTTGGTGGTAATAGTTACCTCCACAATACGTCGATGGAGGACAGATGAAGGATGGAAGATGAACTCGACGGGTGCATGTGCATTAGGTCGAAGGATCCACAAGGTCCACAGGACAGCGATGGCCACAACACCCACCGCTGTCGCTCCAATCATCGAGCCATTCTCGTCGACATCCATCTTGTAAATGTGGACGTATCATCCGGATAAACACGACTTTAACAAGCTTTTTTTGGGCGAAAAACATGTTTTTTTTTCAAAAATGGAGCGCTCTTCCATACTACGGATACCATTCTCCACTGTTTTATACTACGTGTAGTATTGCACAGTGTCACAGATGCCACTAAAAGTATCTTGTAAAACTCCAAATAGTATACTATTTCAAAGCATTTAGTGACCATCAGGTAGCCCCGACACTTGTGGGTCTGCTGTGACGATTGCGTCCGACACTGAATGCAACAGCTTGTGGGGGATATTGGGGCCAAAATAATAGCGAATGTTGGTTTGGCCGGCGGTCGCACGGAGATAGTCGAGGTACCGGGGCGACAACTTGGTTAAAAACGCTTTGGTTTCCAAATTCGTTTTGTCTGCAAAAAAATATAATAATAATAATAATAAATACTGCTGTCTATATCTCGATATTTATATATTTCGTATACGTACAAAAGGTCGCGTCCGCTATGTCCTTGGCGCGGCTCAATGACATGGCATCTACTCCAACAACAGAATGCCGCTTATACAATAATTCGATAAAACAGGCGATGAATAATATTATTTGATATATCATCAAAAGTGTTCGTCACATGTTATTCAGGACAGTCCCACATATATACATACTTTGAATGCGCGAGATATTTTGCGTGGCCAGTGTTTGTTCGTATAGCTTTTGCATGTGAATGATACTGAGTGAGGAGGCCGTTTCGCTGGCGAGGACGGCGGTGCGGAGGTCGGTTTCGGCGCGCTTGACGACGTTGCGTTGGGCTTGGGTTGCCATCTACTCATGCATAAGACAAAGGAGACTAATATATTTGTCGTTGATATGTATGCACCATATATTATATAACACGGGACGATATCAACAACGATATAAATAAATCAATATATGAATCAAACTATTTGGAAATCAAAAACATGATTCCAATGGTTGAATCGCTGCTTGGAATAATAATATTGCAAACCATGGTATTGTCGATATATTCGAAATTGAAGTTCTCAATCGAATGAGCAGAAGAACCAAATCGGCAGACAATCGATATATCGACCAATCAAAAACCACAACACGAATCAAGTGGCCAATCAAATTATCCACTCTTCGACCAATTCAACATCAATTTAGTGTGTGACTTAAACTAGTGTGAACATGGACCACCCTCGATAGATTTGGCGAATATGCACAAAAGTATCCAATTTCGGGTAAAAGCAAGACAATACCATCCATCAATAGGGAAGTCGTACGAACGTGGCATGACACCCACCAGAAGCTTGATCTTTTCTTCATCTACGAGTTCGTAGCTTTCCCGAATTGCCGCCGGAAGGTCTGGTTTGGTGAAGCGAATGGACATGATTTCGAGCCCAGGCGCCCACTGAGCCAGCAAGGCGGACATACGGGCTTGCAAGAGTTCGTCCAGCTGATCGAAGTGGGAAATGTACACTTGGTGGAGGGTGTATTTCGAGCAAAGGACGTTGATTTCGTGGTACGTCACGTCTTCGATCCAGAGCTTCTCGAAGCGCAGGCTGTAGTTTCGCATCGTGCTGCGCAACCAACATGATGGTGTTCGTGCAGAATATGGATGGTAAGGACATACTCGAGGACGAGGTGGGGGCGCAGCCGATGGACGATTTCGACTTGTTGAAAGCGAACGAGGACCCCACTAGCAGTGCCACACGGCACGTCTAGTACGACCGACCTATGTAGATAATACGAGCTGGTTCATCACGTTGTCTCAAGGCGGCGGGGTACAGTACGTCTTGAAGGAAACTGTGTGCAAATACAATGTGAGCACGAGATGCACAAGTCGGCGGCGGATTCTACCTTGGACGTTGGCGTGCTTGGTCAGGATCGGCCACTGCAGATGGTACCCTGGTGCCGACGTCATGTTGAGCAGTCGACCCCCTCTCCAGTAGACACCAACCGACCCTTCTTCAATGCGATGGAGGGGCTTCTGACTTATCAAGGCGAGCAGGACTCCTGCCAACGCCACGAGAACGTCCATTCCTGCCATCGTCGAAGATACAATGTGATTCGGCACGATTATCCGGATGTAACTTACTACTAGTACGTACTATTAATAATACTTTGACTTTACTGTTACTACGTATTATTAATAATAGTAATAATAGGTAATAACAGGTAATGAATGCGTAAGCAACAGTGGAACTGTTGCTTGCTGGAAGGAGGATGGATCTTTCCGTCGTTCGAATCGCCGTATAGAATGTCCACGAAGGTTAACCGTCATCGATGAATATGTACTGCATACGCCATCGAGGAATAATTCCGTCATTAAAACAGATTCACTGTTGTTTTGACCCGAAATACTGTTGTCAATGACGGAATTATTACATCTGGACACACCTTTTCGAGCCCTGTAAGCTGGGACTCGGTCCTATGTACCCCCGGTGAGTACGTACATACGATGCTAAATCTCCGGGGTTAACTACATCGCTAGTGGTTAGCTATCGATAACCACTGAGATGCACTTAACCCCTAGTAACAGGTGAGGTGTCTGAATATACAAAGCTCCATATAAACACTTATTGAAACAGTATTTCGGGTCAAAACAACAGTGGAACTGTTTTGCTGCCCATATCATCCAACTCTTCAACCCCATCTGTATCACACCTTTCACATGTCCTCCACGGCACAACATAGCGTCAGCCACCGAATAGCCATTACTACTGTACATACCTATACTGTTCTGTGGCGGAAGTTTGGTTGCTGGAAATCCGAGGCAAAGTGGATTCGCTAGGTAGGGTTGACGGCACGAAGGATAAAATATGTAATTCTATAGAAACTCGTCCGTCGATGACAGTTGTTCGTGTCCCTACGTACTATTACTAGTAGTACTTTGCATGCAAAGGCCGCCGCTGTTGTGGCCACCATCCGACACTGTAGTCCGACTTTTTAACGTGGGACAAATGCCTGTAAGTTAAGATAAGTTTTGGTTTTATGTACAGTACTGTACTACGTTGGAGTGTCAACGCTACTGTACCGGTATGTGATTGAAATGACAATACTGTAACCTGAGTCAGTCACATCAGCTTCGTTTGCATTAGAGCGCAAATAAGGCGATTGTGGTGGTGGCGTACCGCGGGTAGAGCAGGTACACTTGTGACTCACTCGACAGCGATTATGGTTGGTTGATTCCTCATCATGTTGGTTACATCCATTTGCAAGTGGTTTTTGGTGCAGTAACTAATTCGACAACTTGAATGTTAACGTTACGGGTGTACTCGTCTCCTCATTGGTTCAAAATCCCTGCGCCGTGCAATGCCCTCCAAGGCATTATATTTGGCGGCGCCGCGTTGCGTGGCAACCGCGTACTGTACTGTATACTAGTAACGTAGAATAGTGTAAACTTTGTGGTGTGAAGTGTCACGAGCTGCGGTACATGTATACACTTTGGAAATTCAACCTGTCTTCCTTGGAAATACTCGTACGTCTCCTTGATCACACCAAAACGTGCTGGAATTAGCCGACCGCTGCTGTTTTACCGTTCATTTTCCTTGGCTCCTACTTTGCCATGTCGCAAGTCGAGGCGACGACCACCGTACCACCTATGATTGCAAAATACACTTACACTTTCATGCCAGGTGTCACAGGTACAGTAAGTACAGTAGCGCCGTCTACTAGTACTGTTCAAGAGAAACTATCCATCTCGTAGGTTGCAACCTCCCCCAGGCCAATCACCAGCGACTTGCAATCACCCGTGACGCCGCCATCTACACTACTTCGCAGCAACAACGCCATCGACCCATCGATGAACTCCCTTGGCAGCATGCAAGCCATGCTGACATCACCACTTGTGCCCGACGCCCAAGCAGAGTTCCCTGGCTGCCTCTACTCGAACAAATCCTGTGCCAACCCACGAACTACCAAGAAGGACGGGTCCCTCCATCGACTGTGTGCGTACCACCAGGAGCGAGCTAACTCGAGGCAGAAGCAGTACCTTCGCAAGCGCAAGCACATGGAAGCAGGGCCACCGCCTGCCGTCCGACCCAACGACACCGCGCGAGTGTCACCAAGAGCCGCCGGTTCGATGCACCTCCGTGGGATCGAACCGATTGCATTTGACGCGGAAGAAGCCACGTTGTCCGACACCGAAGTGCAGATGCTCGCGGCATCGATGACGGGTGACGACTACGACGACGATCCAGAAGATGGTGACGACGTGGACAACGATGACTCTGAAGGCAACCACAGCATCCACCACAGCACAGCTCAGTCACTGCCATGGCGTCATCCCAGGAACGCATCATAATATAGATTTAGATGACGTATGAGACGACGGTGAGGTTGTGTGCTCGATGAGGCATTCAGTGTTCAAGTGCGTGGTCGGTCGTTCGATAGGTCTACAGCGGCGAGCTATGTACTGTAGCACGCATACTGCACTGTAGCCATGACAAACTCTTGCTTAGCCTGGGTCATCGCTTTCGTCTCTTGGACTTCATGCATGGCCCATCCATTCCCGACTCATATCCTTCCTAGAACCTGCGGAGTCACGTTCGCATCATTATTGCTGCATCTCAGCCGATTTCGTGCTTGAACTGTCGAACTTTATTGACCATTCAAACCACAATCGAGCTTAATCGAATCGTACCTAATTAGGAATTTCTAGGGATACCAGTGATCGAACGCGGCCAAGAAGCATGTGGGTCCGCCACCTTGATGAAGACTCCACGCGGTTCTACTACCACAACCCAACGACCGGCGAGACCGCATGGACCAAGCCCGAGGGTTACACAGAGGTGAACGACAGCCACAACACAAGGGGTTCCTCTTCCTCTGACGGCGACGACGATAAGGACAACAAACCAGCCGCAAAACGAGCGCGCCCGAGCACCTCCGACGATGTGAAAGAGGGCACAATTGAAGAGGATGACGAAGGAGCGCTGTGGGTGAAATTCGTCGACCCGATCTCGAAGAAGCCGTACTACTCGGACATGAACTCTGGCCGCACCCGCTGGGACCAACCTACGTTCTACACGTCCGACCAAGGCGAGGACGACGACGAGGTGGAGGAGGATCAACTTGAAGAAGAGTACGCGTTTGGCGCCGTCGCTGCCCCTTCCTCCCCGAAAGCATCACCCGCCGCTGCGACCGACAAGCCTGCTGCCGTCACCCCGGTCTTTCTTCGTTACATCGACCCAACGACCCAAGTTCCTTACTACTTCAACACGACAACCAAAGAAACCACGTGGGACGTACCTCCTTCCGACGCCGTCGTCCAAGACGCGCCGTCCTCCGCCGCGACCACCTCCACCGACACATCGAGCGCTGGCAGCGCCAAGTACCAGGAATGGCTCAACAAAGCGACCACCGTTCCCCAAGCCACGCGCGCTGCCGCCGCCGCCGCCTCCATCTCTCGCAACACGTCCGATCCCGTGCATCGCCTCAACTCGATCTTGGGCGGGTCAGCTCGTTCCTTTCGCTGGCAGCAGCACTTTGATGAAAAGAACCAACGATACTACTACCACGACACCACGACCAACACAACCCAGTGGGACCCCCCCGCCGACGGATCCGCCGTTGCCGCTGTCGGCGTACGTGATTTGTCTCCATGTATTGCGTGGACTAAGTAAGAGTCGCGTGATGTATTCTAGGGAGCGGACTGGGTGCCTGCCACCGCCGCCGACTCGTCCCACGAGCCTGTGACATCGCAGAGCGAGTACACAGTGGTGGCCCATATGAACATGCTCAGCGGACGGTTCAGTGGCGCAAGTGGAGACCAGTACTTTCACAAGCAAAACATCCCCACAGACAAGGCCGGGCGCCAGCTGTCCAACTTTTTTGACCTGACCGCGTTCGAAGCCAACAGGGCAGAGGCCAAGCGACTCAAGGACGAGCTCAAGACCAAAAATATTGACTGGAAAAAGTACAACGAAGACAAGAAGCGGAAGCGGCACCGCGTCCGCAACAAGTGGATGTACGAGGATTAACGAAGTCATGAAGCAAATCCACGATCATCGTCTTGACGATGCATGCTGTTGCTGGGATTCAACATATTGCTTGTATTGTGGTCTATTCGATACAAATTTCCAGACCCCGTCGAATCACGAATCTTGACGCTATTGGCTAACCCAATTTGGAGTGGATTTGATTGGCTCTTACAGAAATACCACAAGTATATTCAACGAATCAGAACTCGAGCGTGATTCAATAAGTCGCGCGAATTTTGGAAGTTTATAGCGAATTCACAATGTATTCTAACAGACTGGAGAATCTATCGATAGATTTGGCGATTTGTCAATACAAGAGTCCTAATTTTGGATAAAAAAGCAATAATACAGACAGTATAGTCTTGGATCGTTCACTACATAGCGGGGGATATACATAGTAGATATCACCGGTGAAACGTGGCTACATACACTGCGACATATAGCTATATTGTATAGTTTCTTGGGGGGAAGGACAGAACAGACTCTAGGCCAACCCAACATGAACCCGCCGGTGGGGGGGCTGTTGCTGTGGCGTGGGGGCCTGCATGTGGTGATGGTCGACGTCGTCGTCGTCGTGGTTATTGCGGGTGCGACTCGTGCGCCGGGCTTTGACCAGGCCAGACGCGCCGCCGCCGAGGCCCCGCCCCAGCGGACCTCCTCCTACCCCTGCCACCGCCCCATCGGTGTCGTCTGTCTTGTCGCGGAGCCACAGCGGTTTCGTAGCCATCATTTGCATTTGATGGGTCTTTGTGGTACTTCGGATAACGACGTCCTTTGTTGGATCGTTGTCGTCGGAACTGTTGTTACCGCCACCGCAGCGAGGGGAGTCGTCCCCTGGACCCCCCCGGAGGGCGGCAACGCGGCGGACGTGCGACATGCGACTCGTGCGGACGTGGACGGCGGACGGGGGCACCGTGTCGGTCGACCCGACAGTCGAGGAGGCAGCGGCGTCGGCTAGCAGCCCCATGAGCTGCCGTGCGTGGGGGACGCCGCTTCCGTGAAGCGCCTTGGTCAGTCGCGGTGCGTCTTGGCTATGGAACCACATCAAGAGGGTTTGGACCCACTGGCGGACGGTGGCGCTGCCGTGACCGACGCACGACGCCCCAAGGAACGGCAGCACGTTGTCCATTGCGACGAGGTCGGATGGTGGGTCGTTCTGGAGCATGTCGTCCAGCATTTCGAGCCGGACCACAAGCTCCCATCCGACACGGATGTGCTGGAGGCGCCTGCCGCGCGTGGACGTTCCGGACACATGCGCGGCTTGGCGAAGGGCGTCGAGCAAGGCCGTTACGACGACCGTCCGGCCCAACGTGTGGCGGTGGACTAGCACCTGAAGCCACTGCTTGACCGCTAGTCGGACGCGCACGGCGGGGTGTGCCGCCTGCTGGAGGACGGACCGCACCGTCGACCCCAACACGAGGTGAACTCCCCACTCCCCCCACGGGATCAAAGACGCGGTGATTTCTTTGCCCCCCGTGCCGGCGACAGTTGTGAGCAGTTGCAACGTCGTCAAGACCACCGCGACGTTTGTGTCGAGCAGCATCGCTTTGGCCAAGAGACAGCTCACTTCCCACGGTCTCTGCGTCGATGACGACGACGAGGAATACGTGACACCAGCAGCAGTGGACAATGGTGAAGCGGATGACATCGACATGAGCTTTGTCATGAGTTGCACCAGCCCTTGACGTCGTGTGGAAGGGTGGGCTAGCAGACTGGCTACCTTTTCGCCAAACACAATTGCAACTTTGTCTAGTTCAAGGCTCCCGTCCCCGCCACATCCCCGCGCACTCTCAACCTCGGGGAATGATGGCGACTCGGTATTGTCTGCAAGTGGCAGACCTACCATCGGAGCACAGGTCGAAGGCGAGGAAGATGTCGATGACGACGTGAGAATGTTCTTGGAAATGGCTTCGCGCACCGCGGGCTTGACGTGGGCTAGGCACGCGTGGATGTCCAAGGGGGGGGTCTTGGTTGTCGGGATGGCTTTGACCAGTTCGTACAGCGCCGTGTACGCAGCAACCGCGGCGTTTCGGATGTCGACGTGTTTGTTGTCGAGTGCTGGGACGATTATGTCGAGGACTTGGGCTAGGTCAACTAGGTTTCCGGACATCGCCGTTTGTTTCGCCGCCTTGGCGTGGTCACTGGCGTTGCTGCTGCTACTATAATCGCCCTTGGCTTTGGAACAAGTTGCTTTGGATTCCCGGAGCAACGACGTGAGCAACATGAGCATCTCTGTCTTGGCCACGGGCGCGTCGGTCGCGTGGAACTGCTCCATGACGAACCCCCCGACCAGCCCAGGCCCGATATGCGACAGCGTCGACACTGCGTGCAGTACCGCAAACGAATCCGACCGTACTCTTGGTTTGGAGTCGCCCAACTTTTGAATCACGGCTTCGATCGCTGGTTTGAGGGTGGAATGAAGCACCATCGCATACCCAGGGACGGTAGGGACAAAGTCCGTAGACACCACCTAGGACCGAAGCATGGGTATCAAGAGATAACTTGCATCGAAACGCATGTAGCAACGAGCGTCATGAGCCTTTATACTGCCACTCAAATCAATCGACAAGTAGGTTGGGAGTGTTGTTCGCCGCGGTTTAATATTCAAGACCACTTGAATCCTTGTCGATCGATGTAATATTGTGAAGTCGTCTGGGAGATCGAATACATATATAAATACATGACAAAGCAAGGTCGTTGGTCATAATAAACACACAAATAAGCAGGAATTTGTATCCCACAAGGCTCTAACATGATCGGGACAGTACCTGGAGCAGCCGCAGCGCACACTGGTACACGCGTGCAACGGTGTCATGCAGCACGAGTTCCAGGGCTTCCGAGAGGACGACCAGCGTTGGCGCGTCTGTGGCCCATCGTGTCGTTGCTGTAGAACTTGCCGACGAAGTAGGAGCAGCTCCGGCAAGGAGGACCTGCTTTTCAATCTCGCGGACGGCGGCTTCTCGAGGAGCCCACGTCTTGTCGAGAAGACATCGGACAATGGGCTCGCCCATGACAGCCAACATGCGGGCGTAGTCGGTGCGCTGGTCGTCAGTGAGGGCCGTGCCATATGGAAGCGCCGAGTCAGTCGCTAAATGCAAAAGGGTGGGTGACGACGAGATCGTACAATCGACGAGATCGTACAAGTGGATGACGTGGCAGATGGAGGAGCCAGCACGGACACGGTGGCGAGGGACGGGCGATGTTTGGTCGACGATCCACTGGCGGTGGGCGGCCGCGGCCCGGACGTGCCAGGGCGCGCGGTTGGGGCGCTGTCAAAGTCGTCGACTTCGTCCATGAGGAGATCGCTTTCGAGCACCCCGAGCTCGACGAGTTTTGCAATGAGTTTCTGCTTCGCGCCCCGGGCCAACCCGTTCAGAAACGGCATCGTGGCGGGGCGTGCCACCTACATACAACACACCAGGCTATGACGTGGCACCACCACAACACACACCACAACGATGTATGTACTTTGAACGCTTCCGAGAAGATCTGGATCGCCGCGTGGCGCACGGCCGCGTCTTTGTGTTCGCATGCTGCCAGCGCCGGATGCAGCACATACTTGAGACCGAGCGCGCCGCCGCCGGTGCTGTCGTGAACGCCGAATTCGAGCAGCAACTTGAGTATAACGTGGAGTTTGTTTGCGAGCAACGTCGATGATGGCGCACTCAGCGACGGCATCGCATCGAGAATAAACACGGGGCCGACCAGCGGTTGCCGGGACAAGAACAGCAGCGCGTCTTCGCTCACGATTTGCAATCTTTGTTTCGAATCGCCCAATCTAATATATATATATATATATATTATCTATGTATACTATCTGTATAAATATATATAGATTGATATATATATATCCTTGTGTGTCGCTATAATACTATAGGAGTATTCCTTTGAAAAGAATTTGGTGTACAAGAAGCAAAATCGATATTGTGCTACGTACTTGAGGACAAGGCGAGATACCAGCGGCCGAAGGCAGTCTTGGAGTTGCTTGGCAGAGTTGTTGCTACTGGATCCCCCCCCATAGGAAAGCACAAACTCCATCAACAAGGCTAGCCCCGCTTCATACTAATCATCGTCGGCATCAGAGACGTCGTCGTTGGTAGCGTAGTTCGTCAGCCACTTACCACAGCATTGACACGGTCGCTCAACGCTGCCTGGAGCACGGCGTCGATGGCTGCGACGGTGGCTGGCGCGATGTCACATCTTTTGGCTTGGAGGAGTTTTTGAAGGTGGCTCAGCCCTTCCACCCGCGGCGCCCATGCATTGGAAAACAAACACCGCGCCACCTTATCCCCAAAGCATGTCGAGATGCCGTCGGCCGCCGCGCCTTTGAATTGGTCTAGTTTTTATAAGTCTTTGAGCCATGGAATAGCATTCCAAACGATGGGTACCTTGCACGGGTTCGGCGTACGGAAGGTCGGCGTCCGAGCACTCGTCTGCGGATTTGAACGTTGGGTTTTTCTTGGGCAGTAACAACTCGGAAGGCGACGAGGACGGGGGGGGCTTCCCGGGGGTAGTAGTTGTTGCCCCCCGACTCAAGCGTTTGCTGTTGCCCAAGGCAGCTTTGAGACCCTTGTGGATAGTCGCCACAACGCTGGATTTTACAGTGTTGCCCAAGTACTGGTGCAGGACAGAGTCAGTGTAGTCGATCACTTGGCCGACAACGACTGCGTCCGCCATGCCTGATAACCCTACTCAAACATGTGTTCTTGTTCACCCCAATACGTCGAAGTAATCGTGTCAAAAGTCACTCGAAACCTAGTTTTATTATATAGTAAGGTTCATCACTTTATAACATCGTTCAATCAGTATTCGCTCACTCCCACAACAATCGTTCAATAATCATTCACTCGAACCCCATCGTTGAATCGGTGAAAACAACGTTCAATAGTACGACTAGTTACTATGACAACAAGCGGTATGATGCGAGGACGAGTAGTAAGTAGATCGTTTGACCTGCTTGCTCGGTGGTGACGACAACAGCTTGGACAAGCAAGTCCACGGCGGCGGACCGCACCTTGACACTGGAATGGTCGAGCGCTGTCGCACTCATCGCCATCGCTTGATCGAACGACAGGCCGCTTTCGGCACTAAACCGATACTGGCTCGCGATCGCAGTCACGAGGCGGAGGTTCACGAGGTGTTGGCGCCACCCTCCTCCCGTCGTCGCTGCTGCAGCGAGCTGGGTCTGCATGGTCTGCACCATGTGCTGGGTAGCATGGGCACTTTTGCACGCCAAAAACAGGAGCGATGTTACAGCATCACTCGCGTCTCGTTCGTGGGTGCCGGCCGCGCGACCAAGGAGCGCGTCCAGCACCTCCCCGATCATCGGGTGGCTGGCGTGGTACCCGGGTGTGTGGAACGTGCTCGTGGTCAACACAGCGTTGAACGCGGCTTTGACCAGCGGCATCGCTGCCGCAAACACCTGCCCGACCGAGTCACGCGTCGCCACCAGCAGCACGTGGCATGCCGCGTCGAAGTGTTTGGCAGCATTCGACTGCTGCGCCATGACGAGGCCGACGTCGGTCACCGCGAGCTGCCGCGCCTTCCATTCGTGGCTCGCGAGGGCCCGCGCGACGTCCGCCCCGAACGTTTTCCCGATGCAGTCGGGGAGCAGCCTCGCCACGTCCGGTCCGTCCACCGCGGAGGACGACGACGCGGGAGGTGGTGGCTTGGTGGTGGCGGTTGATCGGGACTTGGACGGTGTGCCGAACAATGAGGCGCGGGGGCCGTCCATGTTGTCATCGTTGTCGTCACCATCGTGGGCATCGTACGCGGTCAAGAACGCCAACGTTGGCCCCGATGCGAGGTCCATTGGAGACGCGCCGCCGCCGTCCGGCGCGTGCATGTCGGCGCCTGCGTCCAAGAGCACCTTGGCAATGCCTTTTTGGTTCTACAGTAACGACGTGAGAAACTAATTTGCCAAACCAGCCAAAACGATTTGGAAGTGAGCGAACCTGGTGGCAGGCAAAGTGGAGAGCGGTGACCCCGTGCACCGCACTGCCCCCCAAATCAGCGTTGCACTCGACGAGAAAGTCGACAATATCTTGGTGTCCCTTGACGCACGCGACTTGGAGCGGCGTGAAAGCGAGGTCGTACCGTCGGTCGTTGTCTTCTCTTTTGCCACCAATGTTGTCACCGCGGGATGTGGTCGCTTTGCCGCTGTAGTCGGTGTCGATGTCGGCGCCGTTGGACACCATCCACTTGACCAGCGGGAGGTTGCCGCAGTCTGCCGCATAAAACAACGGTGTGTGACCCTATCGTAGTATCTCAGATACATATTGGTCGGTAGATATATATCGATTTGCATACTCGGTTGTTGGGCTCGTTCAAATACATGCCATGCATGAACAGGAACTTGCATGCAGCAAGGTTCCCGTTAGAGCATGCGATATGCATGAGCGTGTTGTGGGTGGTACTGTCCACCAAGCGGTTGACGTTGAATGCCACGGCGTTGTCGTCGCCACTGTCGTTCCCTGCCAACTCCTACGTGATACGGGTGACGTTGGTGACTAGCACAGCGTTTGTGTGCTCCTTACTTCAAGCATGTGTTGCACCGCGGACAGGTCGTTGGCACGCGCCGCGGCAAAGATGTTTGCCACTCCATCCATCGTTGGGCTCAGTTGGGCGGGGCACCACTTGTCGTGGCGAGGTGTGGAGGGACTGGTGCGGCCAGCAGTTGCAAACTGGGTCGTGGCGGTTACAAAAGGACAGCAGTCTATAATTATGTCCAATCAAATCGCTTCACGTTTTGCTCAAAACTGCGATCAATTAAAAAATCCATATTGGTAATAAACCGATTGAAATCAAATACTAATAATCAAATTAAGGAAATATGTCCCCATAAAAAGTACACTGTACAAAGTTGGCGGCCGCCGACAATGCGGCGGTCGGATGGCGACACGATTGAATGCAGGAAGGGCGCAGGGTCATCGACGAAGGAAGGGAACGGTGATATTCTTTATATGAAGGGTTCCATCATCATTCAACATGATCATTGTCACGTCCAGAAGGAGAACTGTCCACGCATCAGCTGATCTCATCTCACTCATCCGCGTACGGTAGCTTCCACCCATCGTCATCCAACGAAGAAGTCAATGACACTTTTCTCACACGGTATTATGCAGCATGGCGATACACTACGACATTCTCGTCTTATAAATAGTTGGCGACGACGAACGTGAATATATCTACGCCATGAAGAGGGGGGATTGCATCGCGGTTGGTGTGGCGGACATGTCCAACGAAGACAGCGACGCTGAAAGTTCCCATTCCTGTCGATCCATGAGCAGGGCGTCGATTTGCTTCAAAATGCGCTCGCTTTCGTCAACTACAGTCGCGGTGGGGAAGCGACTTGGGTGGTCCGACGATGCCATCGCGCACGCGTCTTCATACGCGACAGCCTCATGCTGCAGATCGCGCTCCATGGAGCCGAGCCACACTAGCATCTTCTCGTGGCGATGGATGTTGCGCTGGATGCGCGCTTCAACCGAGTCGATGTTGTCGGCGTTTGAAGTTCTGCGTCCTTTGAGAACGAGGCCGTGCCATCGGTCAAGGAGTCGCTCCGTCTGTCGCTGGAGGTTCATCTCTTCCTCGAGAGGGTCGTGCTTGATCACCATGAAGTCCTGCACATATGACTCAATCTCACCGCCCCCCATGCTGCTGCTCCTTTGCACAGTGCCGTTCGACGTCACTTCGCAATTCAAAATGAGCAAAACTCATCCTGCAAAATCACGAGTCCTTTAAGGGTGTTAATATGCATATATTATCACATACTACAACTACGTTGTAGTAAGACATGGTAAATCGACTATATATAATATTATAGTATGGACTGCATGCAATCATGCATAGACTATAGTATACTATCCTGAACTATTTAACGCTAATTTAGTTGCTTACATGTACTGTAATGTGCTGGCATTGGTAATATGATTGAATGACGTTTGTCCCAATGTCCCACAGAATTACCCTAAATTCAAGTGAAACACTCCGTGAGTTTAGTGAATTCTCAAAATCCCTAATATTAGAAGCTCGTTTTTAATATCCAATCAGAGTCCATCACACCTTATTTCTTACACACGATTGGCTATAATACTGACAGAAGAGGTTACAATTTTGAACTTTGAATTTTGTAGAGCTTTGTGTGATGCTGCTCCAGAGAATTGTGCACTGATGAGTGCACTCCGACTATGTCCAATGTGGTTCTCCCCTTACAGCTAACATTATGTTGTACGCTCGGTTGGGTCGCAATGTCGAGGTGGCTCTGGTGGGCCAACGCGGTGGCTCAAGAGGTCTTGGTAGTACCCATCGCAAACGCAAAGTGCTAAAGCCGTCACTTCAGCACTTGCGATGGGTGCCACCAAGACATCTTGCGCCACCGCCCGCGCAACCACGTGATCACACCGGCAGGGAGGTGTACGGCACCGACACGGACTGGATGGTGGAAGGTGGGATGACCAATTTCATTGGGTTAGTAGGCAAGTGGTGAAATGAGACCTGTTAGAATTGACCGAGTCCTGAATACCACATCACATGATCTTGCTCTCATACACAGCCTACAATTATCTCAAGGCTCCTTGCATCAACCGCCATCACAGGAATATATCGCAACAGGGCGTGATGAATCTACGGAGGGATTTTCGTGATTTCACCGCATCTGATTGGACAAAATTGGACAATTTTGAATTCGCAAGGTGACCTGCCTTGCGAATTCCAAAAAGAGACAGACACATGAAAAATAAAAATCATAAATACAAACTTGAAGATATATTTAATTGAAATTATACAATTTCAGAATTATTTATGGAATTCGCAACCTTGCGCTCCATACAAAATTGCCTACAGTATTTCACCTTGCTTTTTCTGGTTAATGTAAATCCCACCTCCGCCTGCAACATTGAAAACTCGACAAAGTTACACCTGCATTTTAACTCGGCTCGTGGGGAGGAGGTACAGTATTAATAACTACTATTAATATTGTGCTTTTCACATATTTTGGCTAATCTGGGTATAAATACCCGCTTTTAACCTGTGGGCGACGAAGTTTTAGATTAATTCAACTTAGTTTTAGCTAATCGGAAGTACCTTTGATTGGATGAGCAAGAGCTGTTCCTGCAGCATATGTTGCTAACCTGAAGCGTTTGCCCATTTCATTTCGGCAAACGCGGGGGTTTACAGAGTGGAT